CTGATAAATCTTCATTTTTTAGGGTGTTTATGTTTAACTTTTGGAGATAGACAAATCTGGTGAGTGAAGGGAGTGATCAGCATTGTTTTTGGTCACAAATGACATGTAATTCCAAAAGGTAGAGATTAGGATTTTTTGTATCAGGCTTATCTTTGACAGTCCTACAATTAGAGATTCAAAGCGTTTTGAGCCTCAGCTGCATGGTTGGAAGAGGGTCTTGCTTCTCAAGATGACTCCCTTGAATAATAGCACTCGTTTTCGACCTCTATAAATAAAAATCATTTCTTGAATATAACTTGTTTAACTTGTATTGTGATGGAATTCTCTTTATGAAAGCATTAGCTTGTATTAATATTAATGTCATTTTATAATCTTTAAAAAGGTAGTCTTTTTTTTTGTCTAAAGAAACATTTTTAGTCTATTGACAGGCAAATCTGTATAAGAACAGATTTGAACTTAATTATAACTAAAGGGTGAAATGTATTTTCCTGACCCATTTACTGAGGCTTTATTTACATAAGCTTTCTGCAGTGGCTGAATTGTTCAGATGGATAAAGTTCACCTTTGTCAGCATTTTCGTTTCTAAACATAAAGAAATTCTCTGGTTTTATCCAGTTTCAAGTTCATTGAAAAAGTTGAATGCTGAGCAAGATCAATGAAGTTGACTTTTGGCATTTTATTTTTATTTTATCTTAAATTTTTATTTTATTTTTCTAAAAAGATGACTGGTAAGGGGATCTTAACCCTTGACTTGGTGTTGTCAGCGCCACGCTCTCCCAAGTGAGCAAACCGGCCATCCCTGTATAGGGACCCGAACCTGTGGCCTTGGTGTTATCAGCACTACACTCTCCCATGTGAGCCACAGGCTGGCCCTGGCTTTTGGCTTTTTAAACCCTAGAACAGCTTTATCATAAATGTACTGTCTTCTGGGGCCGGCCCGGTGGCGCACTGGATAGTGCGCCGCTTGGGAAGCGCGGTGGCCCTCCCGTCCGAGGGTTCGGATCCCACATACAGACCGGCTCCCGCTCACTGGCTGAGCGAGGCGCGGGAGCAACACCGAGGCTTGCAATCCCGTTGCCCAACACCGAGGCTTGCAATCCCGTTGCCGGTCCCCGGTCCGGTATGGGGGCAACACTGAGGGTTGCGATCCGTTGCCGGACACGGAAAAAAGACAAAAAGACAAAAAAAAAAAAAATAAATAAATAAAAATAAATAAATAAATGTACTGTCTTCCTAATTACTGGGGGGTATTTTTCTGATTTAGGTCATTTTAGTGATTTGTATTTAATACCAGTGAATGAGCAGCTCATTTAAGTTTTATAGTTCAAATTTTTCTAAGGATTCTTAGTCATTGAGGACTAATAATAAAACCTAGTATTTATTGACTTCTTTGTGCCAACTATTGTACTTAAATGCTTTTTATGTCTTTGTTTAATCTCCCTCCAACAACCCTTTGGGGTATATACTATCCTTATCCCCATTTTATAGATGAAAAAACTGAGTTCTTAAGATGTGAGATCAGTTTGCCCAAGATCATTGCCAAGGTAGGATTTGACCACTAGCTTACTCATGAACTTTTATTGTTCAAACCAGAACATGGGATAATTTTATGAACTGTGTGCATTTAAGATCATGACTCTCTGAGTAAATGAAGTCAACATTGTCTTCTTGTTGTTCTTAAAGATTCATTAAATGTCCTTAAAATGGAAGAATTGCAGAAGTGTAATGAAACTGGTTAAATATAGAAGATACCTATGGAGATACTTAAAAGTGTAGGTAGGCTGTTTGTGTGACGAAGTAATGGTCTCTGGTAGGTTTAACCAGGAATAACCAGTATTTATGCTTTCTGCCACAGCTGTATTGAAATGCAATATGAAATATTCTTAATATAATTTGATAAAATTAGATATTTTCCAACATATGCTAAATTTTTTTTCTGTAAGAACTTGAGGACTGATGATTGAGTTTTGTTTTGAGACTAGTCCTAAGGCAATTTGAAAGAGACTATCAGGATTTTAAAGAAATATAATGGAAAAATAGATGAGAGGATAGTAAGACAATTGGAGCAGGGAGAAATAAATAAGGAAATAATAAGGTAACTGAAGGGTAAAATTTCAGGTCATAAAGAGAGGTAAGTGGAGTGGGATTAGAGCAGAGATATTCATGGTAGGTGACTGTTCATTAAGTGGGTACAACCCAGAAGGATGCAGACAATCCGTTCAGGGAAGAGAAGTGAAGAGGAGACAAGGCACTGGTTTCAGTTACATATTTGGTCAGTTTCACATCAAATTTAAAAGCCAGGAATATTGTTAATTGCATTTAGTTTACAGTAATTGTTTTGTATTCAACCCAGGGTTAATTAATGTGGAGAAAACAAAGACCAAACAAAAAGTGCTATATATAGCCCTTGTTCTTAAGAAATTAAAAATTCCAATTGGGGAGACAGTACCTAGTCTTTGAAACAGTTTCATAACAATATCAGACAGTATATAAATGCCTAAATGAGGGATGTAGACTAGTGGTTCCTGGGCATGGATTTCATAAAGAAGTTACATTTCAAGAGCTTTTTATTTTCCAATAAGGACATGAAAATGAAAAACAACCCTCCTTCTTGTCTAATTACCATTTTATAAAAGATGGAACATTTTAAAACAGGTAAGAGAAAGGATATCATCTCAGGTTAAAGGAGTTTTTTTTTTTTTTTTTTTTTTTTTTTTGTTTTTTTTCCGGGTCCGGCAACGGATCCCAACCCTCAGTGTTGCCCCCGTACCGGACGGGGGACCGGCGACGGGATCGCAAGCCTCGCGACA